TGTGTGTGTGTGTGTGTGTGTGTGTGTGTGTGTGTGTGTGTGTGTGTGTGTGTGTGTGTGTGTGTGTGTGTGTGTGTGTGTGTGTGTGTGTGTGTGTGTGTGTGTGTGTGTGTGTGTGTGTGTGTGTGTGTGTGTGTGTGTGTGTGTGAGTGAGAGAGAGAGAGAGAGAGAGAGAGAGAGATAGGGCTGGGTCAACTTAAAACATTACAACAACATTCCTACGTTTGTAAGTAACTTGAAAAACTATCTGGTTAAGGAACATTGTATTTTTAATTGCCATGCCATAAATAAATTAGGGATGCACCGATACCACTTTTTTACAAACCGGTAGGAGTATTTTAATTTGTGTACTCGCTAATACCGAGTACCGATACTTCATAGATTTGGTTTCAATGACGTTTTTTTTATTTATTTATTTATTTATTTTTTATTGCTTGTAGCAAGGATGAACACAAATCTTTTAACAAAAGGCTGTTCCAAGCCTAAAAAATACACACATTGTTGATAACCCTGCAAATTCAGATCGTATCTATTAATGATTAGCCATAGACATTTAAATGACTAGTTATTCTTGAGCTTATGCATCCATGACTTCACAATACACAAAGTGTATGTAGTGTACGTTACCTTATGGAGTCACTCTCTTAGCATTGCATATTGGGGACGCATAAAACCCTGTTATGTGCGATTCTTTCATATTCATGAGTCCTGTCCTTAATCCGCTGCAGGTAATCAAAATGTCGGCCACTTGATGTTAAACTATGGGTGGGTCGCAGGTAGATAAAGTCAATAGCCATAAATACGCAAGGCATACTCTCATTTTAAAAATCATGCCACCATCACCTCACAATGCCTAATAATATATAATCTTATTTTTTATTAAAACAAAAATGATTTAGCCCTGACATGCCAACTGCAGAGAAACAAGCAACCATCGTGGCAACCGCAGCAAGCACTTTTTCTGAAGTTCAGCTGTTCTATTTTGATGGAAAAAAAATCAATAATGAACAGCCTACAAGTGTGTGTGTGTGTGCGTGCTTGGGTGCGCGCGTGTCTTTATCATTGAAGCCGCTCTCTTCAAAAAACAAAAGTTGCTTAGTCTGTCTGGCAATATTTCTGCTTTTAATCGAATGAAAAGTTCATTTAGATGAGCCAATATTTAAAAATTGTAGTGAAGAAAATGTGACGTGCGGCCATCATCGAATCTGAGGTCTGATCTCATCGATTTCTTGCTGTCACCCAGATATTGGTACAGACACTACACGAGTCAAGTTGCAAAACTGAGGTTGGTATACCAGCTGAAAGGTAGAATAGCTGAAGCCTTTGCGAAATCTATCAACATACAGCACTGAAATTAACAGGCATATGTTTTCTAGCCAATGTTATGGAGAAGTTGTGTCGCCTAATATTAATTCTAAAAAAAAATGAAAACCAAAATAAGCTATTCATTGCATTTTTCATTTGATAAAAATATACAAAAACGGAAAAAACAAAGGATGGCTAGTTTGTTTTAATGTGTTTTAATATTAATAAAAAATATGCTTAGTTAATTTTAGCTTAACTGCTACGCCCCAATAGACAAGCCATTCAAAAATTATTTCATTGTGTACTGGGTTATTATTTATATTTTACAATAAAAACTAAATTTAGCATGTGTCTTTGTCATTTAAATTTGCAATTCATAACACACTAGAGCTGTAGGCCTATAGTCTATGCCAGGCGTGTCCAAACTACGGCCCGCGGGCCATCTGCGGCCTGCAATCAGTTTTGTGGCGGCCCGCGAGGCTTTTTATAAACATCAATAGAATCTGGCCCGCTATTTATTAAATGAACGTAATTCAATAAATAACCACCGGGTGTCGCTATTACATGCAATCAATTAAGCAGCAGTTCTTGTTATGATCTATCTGTCTATCTATCTGTCTATCTATCTGTCTGTCTGTCTGTCTGTCTGTCTGTCTACACACAGTTGAAGTCTGAATTATTAGCCCGTCTTTGATTTATTTCTTCTTTTTTAAATATTTCCCAAATGATGTTTAACAGAGCAAGGACATTTTTACAGTATGTCTGATAATATTTTTTCTTTTGGAGAAAGACTTTTGTTTTATTTCGGCTAGAACAAAAAGCGGTTTAAATTTTTTTATTAACCATTTTAAGGTCAAAATTATTAGCCCCTTAAGTCTTCAGAACAAACCATTGTTATAAAATAACTTGCCTAATTACCTTAACTTGACTAGTTAACTTGATTAACCTAGTTAAGCCTTTAAATGTCACTTTAAGCTGTATAGAAGTGTCTTAAAAATATCTAGTCAAATATTATTTATTGTCATCATGGCAAAGATAAAATAAATCAGTTATTAGAAATGAGTTACTAAAACTAATATGTTTAGAGAGAGAGAGCACGCGTAAAGAGCTCAAAGCTGGCATATAACCAGAAGCAAGATCATATCGTTATAAATATGTCCTTAACAATACTCATCGAAATATTTATAAATTTACATGGTATTTATTTAGAATGTGTGATCTGTATAGGATGTCTGATCTTTACAGAAGCTGTAAACTGACACACGCGGTTAAGCTCTGACAGTCTGACTAGAAGCTTTTATTTTGCCTGTAGTCTTTACATTTTTACTTAATGTTCCATTACTTCAAATTTCTTTCATTTTTTTATTTATAGTTTATAAATAAAATGAGTGCTAGCTTGTTTAGCTGTGAGATCATTATGCAATTTGATCACAAATTGAGAACTTCCATTTACAGCAGTTACAACTGGTAAATCTTGATCAGAAAATGGTTGTCAATACAATTTTGAGTGGCCAACGGAGTGTTTTTTGTGATCCACAACTTTGATTTTAAAAGGTGTGTTAAAGCCATTGTACTTCTGTCAGATGCGGTTCAAGCTTGAGATAAAAATGATATCTTTTCAAATTAGATGCTAAAATACAGCGACAGTGTTCTCGATTTGTCCGCTGTTATACTGTAATCAGCAGCCCTTCAATGCACACATACACACACACACACACACAATAGATTAATGCATTATAACGCAAACCCTATTACTGACATGAAACTTAACAAGTATGTGACAAAGCCATAAAATTTTCAAAAAATAAAAGTATGTTACTGATACTCTGCTTGCTGAATTGTATGTTGATTTATAATCAGGAGCCCTTTTTTCCATTTAGTTCATTTGTATTGCATATTATTTACCATGGCATGTGTTTTTGTGTAATTTCTTATTTTTTGGTTAACCAAACATATTATTTGGTTGCTATATTAAAGACCCGTAGTAAAGACCAGTGGTTCTTTTTCATTTTTTTAATGCATATTCATTTTCCATTTAGTTAATGATGACTCTTTTGCAGATTTCTTTTTTGAGTTTGATTTATTATAATCTCTCATTTCTGTGTTTGTAGCAGAAAGCTAGCTGCAGCTCCAGTGAGAAACACGATTTAATGAAACAGAAAAAAACCCCAGAAAAAATCTGATATGCATAAGTAATACGCATTTACGTTTTATATATTGAAACGGTTTATTAAAATGGTCCCCATCAGAGGCACAGCCCAGTGCAGCTCCGGTGGGGGACCGATGTCATTTGAATAAATTCAAATAGTAAAATTACCAATTCCAATTCTAAAATGACCACGTTACATATATCAGATCTTCAGTCCAGCAGCAGCTCCGGTGGGAGACACAGATTTGATGTAAACTTAATGAAGCAAAAAGAAAACACTGTTTACCTCACAAATGATCTAATTTGCATGATGTACATATATGCTTTCATTTCCTAAAGTGACACTGTTGCGTTACACACAATAACACATCAGTCTGCAGTCTCCATGAAACTGTTCCCCACATTGAATCCAGGAATTTAAACAAATAAAAATGTGTTTACCTCACAAATGATCAAATCCATTGACTGACTATTCTTCAAATATGCATGTCATTTCATATATACTTCTAATCAAGCCCTGTTTTTCGGTTGACTCAAAGATGGTACATTTCAAATTGTAAACTGGGCTGACATCCTCAAAAATACATTTAAATTACATTTATATATGTATTCAGCAATATCTGCTGTATTTGAGTTTCCTTCATTGGTGTAATCTTGTGTATTGTATACCTTTTCATACAGTACGCTCTGGTCTTATTTATCTCAAATAATACAGAGACAACAAATTGTAAACTTGTCTTAACATAATTTTGCCCTTTTGGGAAATGAGCACCAACTCACCATTTAGAGTAGAAGTTGAGTCAAGGCAGAGTGATTTGTTATGGTATACTAGTGTTAATGGAGCCTGTTAGATAACTCTTAGACTAATATTTTTGCATCAATTCAGACTGAGAACTAAAAAGCTAAATGTGTTCAGAAGAGAGAAATAACAACTTGGCTGGCTTGGTTGACCCCAGCCCAAGATCTGTCATTCTACGCTTATGGCTGGAGTTGCAATATGTTACATTTATTTGGCTAAACTATAAGAAGATAGCCTTTTGATGAAAAAAAAATAATAATAAAATAAAATAAACTCTGCAATTGGTTTAGTTTGCAACAATTTCCTGGACAGCAGAAAGTCTATTTATAGAAACTTTCAATTTTGCTTGTTTAAAAGTAAATAGATGTCAGGCATACTAAATTAATAAAATATGAATATATATATATTTAAATATATTTAAAAAAATATATATATTTTTTAAAATATGAAAAATATGAATAAAATCTAAAATTTACAGCTAGCATACAACCTAAAATACAAATAGAAGTAAATTACAAATTGATATTAGTTCCGTATTTGTCATGTTGCAACTGATCTGTTGCTGCAGGTTTGTGAGGTTCAGAACCAGGGTAATGACAGAGACTCTCACAAGGGTGCCAGCTCAATAAAGGTAAATTTGGCCATTATATTTGTATGTAGACTGATGTTTGAAAATTGTTGAGTTTTGTTTGTGTGTCTCAGTATAAAGTTGGCAGTTTGATAACAACATAATCTTCTGTGAAGCAGGAAGTATACGATATGCCGAATGGTTATGAGGACCCCATGGGCGATGAGCCAAGTGATGCCAAAACCAACCTGATCATCAACTACCTACCCCAGAATATGAGTCAGGAGGAACTTCGGAGTCTCTTCAGCAGCATTGGAGAGGTGGAGTCAGCCAAACTCATTAGAGACAAGATGGCAGGTATGTCAGCTCATCACAGTAAATCTGTGTTACTCTTTTTTTTTTTTTTTTTTTTTTTTTTTTTTTTTTGTGACGACTACGCAAATGGTGGTCAACCAGAACAAGCTTTTAACTTCTGTGGGAACCACCATTGCTGGATTTGCAGGTTTTAGATGCTAAGTGACACTTTATCAGGTCATTCGACTAACATATCAAAGCAATAATTCCTCTTCATCGATCATTTTTCCTGCAATTGACAACGAGAACGAACATTGAAGCATTGTCTTATTGACGAGCAGCACCTACATGTTTTCAAAAGAATCTAAAACACCAAATGGGATGAATTTATGCCGCATTTTCTAAAGTAATACTATCTGTATTTAGCTTTTTGCTTGTACGGTGGATCTGAACTGTCAGAACACCTCTCAAAACGCTTTTTTCGGACATTACATATTTGTAGCAGGGATGTGATTCTTCTGTATAAACACGGATTTCCATATTTTCCGAGCTCAATTGGGCATAAATCCGATAATCCGATAATAGTCCTGCTTCATTGCAGACATCATTTAGGTATAATTATATTGTGTAGTCCTATAATGTGCTTGTATGACGAAGCTGCTGACAATTTGCAAGATTATAAAATCGCTTTGAATGCGTGCACAGCTGTGCACTTTTTCCATGCCCACATTATGGCGTTATTTCACTAACAAATGTCGTAAGCGCAGTATTGCAAGTCAAGAGCGCATTCATGTAAGACAAGAGAGCGAATCTCTTTGCAGATTTCCTCTTTTATTGGACAAAACTGCTCCCGAGCTCCTAAATTTACAAATCTTCTCGTTTGCATAAGAGTTAACATCTTCTCGTTAACTTCTCACATACTCAAAACACTGGCTGCTCATATGTGAATAATCTGCTCTCGCTCAGTCAGATGATGTGGACTTCCAAATTGTGCTTTGTGTTTCCTTTTCTTTTCAATTCAATTTGTTTATTGTCATGTGCACAGTAAGGAAACACATTTCCCTGTACAATGAAATTCTTACTTTGCCATCCACAGTGAAGTCATACACATAACATACACATCATACACTACATGCACATATATACACAGAAGTGATGGAATGATATATATATTATATATTATATAATAATATAATATTATATATATATATATATATATATATATATATGTGTGTGTGTGTGTGTATAAAAAAAAAATATATATATATATAAATATATAAATATATATATATATATATATATATATATATATATATATATATATATATTAAAAAAAAAAATATATATATATATATATATATATATATAAATATGTATACACACACATATATATTAGTGCTGTCAAAATTAGTACGTTAACGCATGCAATTAATTTTAAATAATTAACGAGTTAAAAAAAAATGTACGCCGTTGCAGGTTTTTTTTTATTTCCTGTTGTGGTGTGTTTAACGTGCAAATAAACATGGATAAGACCAATGTAGCACCTTTTGAAGGCAAGTTTTAGTATAAAACAAATAATGTCGCATCACCAGGCTTTCCAGAGTTTCCTCCAGAGTTTTGTGTGATTTCGGGTGTTTCATTTTTAACTTTTGACTACTGTTTAAATAGAATTTGATACCGCATGGGGAACAGAAAAAAAAAAAAAACTCCACATTTCGTGACTCGGTGGTTCTTTCGTGGATAGCTGCTTACATGGTAGACTCGTAATAAGAGTATTATCTTAATCATATTAAAATCGCAGTATTGGTGTCCATGAAGTGCCGGATTAAGTCGCGAGCTGTCAAAAGTCAGTGCATTCCTTTGACTTTCAGCATGTGGCCTCTAATGTTTTATTAAGTTTGACGTGTTTCCTCCTTAAACGTAAGCTTATGGTTCGTGTTGTTGTGTCAGAATCCTTGTGAAATTCAGCCATAATTGAGAATGCTTAGTTTAAGCAAATTTGATAAACATGATCATTTGTGTTTAATCTGAAGGGAGTCACTCCGGCTGCGCTGTCATGAGTGTCTCTCTCTCTCTCTCTCTCTCTCTCTCTCTCTCTCTCTCTCTCTCTCTCTCTCTCTCTCTCTCTCTCTCTCTCTCTCTCTCTCTATCTCTCTCTCCATCTCCATCTCTCTCCTCTCTCTCTCTCTCTCTCTCAACTCACAGCAAAACAACTTTACAAAGAGTGCAATTGTTTGTATTCAATACTTTATTATTATTATTATTATTATTATTATAGTTTTCCATATCTGCAATGCCTGTATTTTGGCATTTTTTGCTGTCCACTTAGAATCCAACTTTTAAATCAATGTTTTCTTCATTGGTATTGATTGTTTTGAAATTCAAATGGCACTAACATGCCTATGTTTTAATTTCTGTAATAAATATGGCTGTCAAGCCAGGATCTTGATGGTTTATAGTTGGTTTTTGTGTTTATTGTGTTTACATGAAGAAATCTATGTTACAAGTTAAACAAAAATGCGGGCGGCGAAACAATGAAGCAAGAAACCCTCTCTTGCACGGTTGTGAAAAAGTATCTGTGCATTTGCGCTACAAGCACACCGTCTGAACGTGTATTGCTGGAAAAATTTCAACCCCAATTAGGTCTTCACTTAAATCGGACAAATTCACGTTAGTTTTTCTGGCAAAGAATTTAAAGTATGAATAGAAAACAAAAGATGGAGAGAAACTACGCTGTTTTTTAAACATCTGACTTATATTGTTATATTGTTATTTTTGTACTTAATTAATACTATTTATATTATTACTGTTTAATAAAGTGCCATTTAGGCTATTTGTGAAGTTCTTGAAAATGTAACGTTTAATTATTATTATAAGGTTTCAAGCAGTTATTTAATATTTAACTACAATATTTATAAGCAGTATTGTGTTGTTTTATTAATGAAAGTTAAAAAATGAACGTGTACGTTTATACAGATGTTTTATTTGTTAATATTTAATTAAGTTATAAGTTATTCCTTAATTTTTACATAATAGGTTGATTAACTTATAGGCTACTTTATTTGGTGGTGCTATGGGAGGAACATTTTTGCCAGAGAATAATGTTTTCACCACTTAAAAAAAGATAAATATAATAACTTGCGAAAATAATGCAATAAAAAAAATGCTAGCTCTTTATCATTCTTCATGATCTAATTCATACATACAATAAACCTACATTGCGGCAACAAGAACAAGCCCTAAAACAAAGTCTATAAAGAGAAGAGTTATTAATAATATATTAATTAAATTTTGTTAATATAAATGATCATAAACAGATACTGCATTGTATGATAAACGCATTCACGATATTGTGTCTGCAATGTTTTCTGAATAACAGATAATCCATGTAATCGCCGTCTCCCCAGCCAGGTTTTCATCAGTTTTTTTTTTTTTTTTTTTTTTTTTGCTACAAACAATAAAGAATGGCTATAGCAGGCCCGGCGCCAAAATATCACAACTGAGGAGTATTCTTAATGCCATAGGGGGCACTTGGTGATTTTGGTCCCTCTTGTTAATTTAATTTAGGCTATTTATTCACTTATTTATTACTTTGCATTTAGGCTTGGGTAACAATAATGTCACCGGTACCTTTGGAACCTGTATGCACCGGATCAAAACAGCATATGAATTTTGGTGCCTAATTTTGGTGCTGTAACAAGAACGTAAAGCAGGTTGCGCACCGTAAGCACCTCTCGACGAAGCGCAGAGCCATGCATTTTAGAATCCGCAAGTCAGCGGCTGTCCGCCGTCAGGACTGTTCATATTTCTGCCATGCCACAGAGTGCCATGTGAATAGTTTCATTTTAAATAACATGCAAATGTGCACGTCTGGTGTGTGCTATTATCTGTCATGTGCGCGCCGTGCTGCGACTCTGAGCGGCGCATCCGCTGTGTGACGCGCTTAAGAAGCATAAAGGTGTGCATTAAAGACACACGTGAGTTAGCATTGTGTCACAAAATCTCTAAATGTTTAATTCTAAACAGCTTTGAGGGATACAGATGTTAGCGATGTCAGGCGTTTGTTATTGTAGCTTATAGGAGACAAAGCGCATACGGCGCATGCGGCGAGCGACTAACTTCATCAACACGCATGACCGTGTTCATCTAATTTGCTTAAACTAAGCATTCTACGGTATAGCTATATTTTACGTGTAAGGATTCTGACACACCAACATGCAGCAGATGTTACAAAAGTTGCGTGTAAGGGAGAAACACGTCAAACTTATAACATGTGATGGCTCAAGGAATCACCTTAAAGGTGAGGAATGGACCATTTCTGACAGCTTATGACATCATCTGATACATAATCTGAGTACGTTTACATGGACACCAATACTCTGATTTTAAAATGATTAAGACAATACTCTGATCAAGAGTCTACCACATAAACAGTGAATTTTTAATATCTTAAAGAACCACAGACACAAACTGCGGAGGAAACATTTATAGGCTGGTGACGGAATGACGTTGATGGATCTATGTGCTGTAACATGTAACTAGGAATCATGAATGTAAAATTCAAAAAGCAACTCCTGTGAACACCTGAATCATAATATTGTCTTATTCAGATTAAGGCAAATCATTACATCCCTGATGTCCATGTAAAAGTAGTCACAAGCCCAAAACCCAGAAAAAAGGTGCTCCTGATTTTGATGACAACCTTTCCACAGGTTAGTAGTAAGCTAATGTAATGTTAATGGCATAATGCAAATCTTGCATTTATGCTAATAAACAAATGATATAAAAAAATATATATTAATCCAATTCAAATAAATAAAATATTAATTGATGTTTACTTTAAACTTATTATGAATATATATTTATATGGTTCAATTATTATGATTATGATAATATTATGATTTTATATATATATATATATATATATATATATATATATATATATATATGTGTATATATATATATATATATGTATATATATATATATATATATGTATGTATATATATATATATATATATATATATATATATATATATATATATATATATGTATGTTTATTTAT